GAGCCCACTGGAGACCCAGGGCTGCCCAGCACATGGGAGAGACCTACTCTGCCTTTGTTCTTCCCGATCGATCCTGGTGGGCTTCAGGAAAGAAGTCTTTGCTATAAACATCTGCATGTGAAAACTCACTTTGAAAAAGTGAAAGTAGAGCTGGAGAAAGAAGCTCAAAACCCCAGGCACTGCCAGGGAGGGCAGAGGGAGGGCTTAGGGTGTGGGACTGCCCAGTGTCCCCGCAGGACCAATGCTGCCCGGAGGGTCCACCTTAGCCTCTACAGCCCTAGGAAACTTGGGGCCAGCTTGTCTGACACGTTACAACAAGCTGGTGCTGGACACCTACGTGTGACACTCCCAGCTCCTCCTGCTAAAGCTCTGCCCAGACCACAGGAGACAAACCTCCCTCCCTCCCCCTCCCATCACACTCCCCCCTCCGGAGATAAACCAAAGGCACTGGGGTAAAAGCGCGCCTATCTCCTCTCAGCTGTGGCTCCTGAGCGCAAGCACTTGCATTCCTGATCCGTGCTAGGCTAACTCCGGCCATCCCCCGGGACCTGGGAGTGTGACCAGCCGGGGAAACCGCGGCGTGTCCACACCGCACCGACAGGCGGGCACGTGGCCACGGAGGTCACCCTGTGGGTTTTCCCTCCTAGTGCTCGGTGGGTGGTGTTTGGCGAGCCAGTCTTCCAAGTCTGGGCAAGCCAACTTTTTCTTTCCTTTTCGAAACGTTTCTTGCGAGCGCTGAGTCTTAACCTTACTAACGGATAGATAGATACCCAGTGCCTCTCTCCCCACCCCCTCCCCCGCCTGCCCTACCCCTTGGGTGCCAGCCCCGGTGCTGCGGTCCCCAGGCGGGTAGGGGGAAGAGGGAGAGGGGGGAGGGCGAGGTCGGGAGATGGCCCTGGCTAGTGGTAGTGACCCTGGGGACACCAATTCGGAGATCGCTCCGTGGGCGCTGGGAGGAAGGGGTGGTCCCTCCAGGCGAGGAAACGGACGGTCAGAGGGGACCCAGGTGAAAGAGGCCAAGGGATGTGCCCTCGGACGAATCGCACTCCCCCGCCCCCACCTAGGACGGGCAGACCACCCAGGGCTCCATGCGCCTCTCGCCGCGAGAGCGAGGAAAGGGCGGTCTTTACAGTGGCCAAGTCCCCGCGGGACCTGGGCAGTGTGGGGATCCGCGTGGTGCGGGGAATGGTGGGGGGAGGGGGGGACGATGAAGGAGACCCGAACCTGCGGAGACGTCCGCTTACCCGGCCGTTAGGGTCGGTCTCCTG